CTCCTCTCTACTTGCCATGCACAGTGAAAGGTCCAAATGGTGACTGTATCTCTTCCACACAGAAGAGATCTTAGCGAGTTCTGCTTGTTCTCCCAGAGGGAAGTAGTACCAGACTTGGGGACATCCTGGATCCTGGAATCATCTTACTATTCTTGCAAGTTACAATAAATATCTAAGAAGCAGCTGTTTTTCATGTCCATTCCCACATCCTGACTAAGGTGTTGACACTAAGCTGGCAAAGCCTGGATCCATTGGTCTTGCTGCACATGCACCATGTAACCGAGCTGCGTGTGCTTGGTGGCCCTGTACTCTGGACAGCCAGTGGCCTTCGTGGAACTACTGCTGGTGCTGGGAATGCCTATGGAGCAGCTGCTCTTCTCCCTGGGCTTCTCTGTCAGGAAATCCCAGGCAGGTTGTCTCTACTGGCAGAAGGCTCAGGATCGTCAGGGAGGAAGGAAATGTATCCAAGTCAACCCCCAAACTTGGTAACTTTGTTTATATGGAATGTATTCTGAAAATTCAAGGGAAAAGGTACTGGTGATCTGGATGGAGAGAAACTCCTTAGATACTGAAAAGTATCAAGGTCTAGGATGACTAGTCAGTAATCCTAAATACTGTAATTGCAAGTTCATATAAATGTCTCAGAAGTTGCTGTTGTCTGTGTTTGTTCTTACCCACAAACTGTTGGTTTTGTGTTTATTAATGGTAAATAAAGACATGAGTATTGTTGATTAAATTGTATTATTAAATATACTGGCATTTCTTCGAGAGTAACAGCTTGAAAAGCACATAAGCAGAGAGGAGTGCTGACAAAACAAGGCTGTAGTCTTTTGGAGTATATTAAAAAAAATAAAAAGAAGGATAGGCTTCTTTTTCTTAGGAAGAGCTGGCTGCCATGATCTGTGTGCTTAGGCAGTACATTTTTTCAGAGAACTTGCACTTAATGCACTTAAAAGAGATAAAACTGTAGTAGTTAAAGGAATTCAGTATTTTTCTGTCTGTGTTTCTGGCAGACCCTTCTAAAATCTCTTTTTATTTGTGATGGCAGCTTGTTCGAGTACTGTAGAACAGATGTTACAGAGCAGGCTCAGCCCCTGGAAATTTTCTTTGTAGTGTCCTATATTAAAAAGGATGGAAGGAAATGAGAGCATAGAAACCCTTGCTCTGGCTGAAGAGCTTATTGCTCCCAGATGCTTCCGTGTGCCCCTCCTCTCTCACTGCAATCACTCCTTGCACTGCTTTGATACATCAGTTTCAAAAAGGAGGTGGAGATTTGTGTAACCAAGTGTATTGGAAAGGGCAGAACACTGTTGCGCAAACCTGGAATTGAAGCAGGGAGCCTACTTGGGTTGGTAACAGGCATGAAACCCCAGGTGGTGATGGCAGGAAAAGAATTACAGTTACCTGATTATCAAAACAGTTTTGTACAGCACATAGGTCTCTTTGAGACTTAAAAATTTTGACAAAGCTTGAGTCTACTTAAACACAGGTGTGCAGGGAGATCCCTGTATAAGGTGATGTAAGTATAGGTCATGGAAAAAGTCTCAGTGGGTAAGACTTTGCTGCTATTGAGCAGATAGTGAAGTTGTGATATTTTACAAAAGCACATAATTTTTATTAAACACTGAAGACATACACAGCTAGTTAAATGTTTTATCATGTCTTTCATCTGCTGTCACTGATGTGGCTCCTGGTCACTGGTGTTTTCACAGTGTGTGAGAGGCTGTAGAACTTGTGTGAAGATGATACTGTGGTGTACTGGGCTAACCATCAGTACAGCTCCAGCAGTGCATGTTAATTTTGTATAAGAATTATATGCCTGTTCAAAAAAGAAAAATACAAGGCATTTAAGAAAAACCTGCTAGGCTAGGTTTTTCTCTATAAAATGACCTTCAAACTGGGGCTGATCCACAGATCCCGAACTCCCATCTAGGTAGCAAAAATTGCCTTTGAATATGTGGAGAATTAGAAATCACATACTTATTTCTGAGAAACTTGGCCTCATTATACCGGTTATTCAGAAGAACTGTAGTGCTGCCTTTAAAGAAATATATTTAGAGTGGTTCATAGGAAATCTCTTAATAGAGCTGATACAAGAAAATAAACATCTAGTGAAAGCTTGTGGAGAAGCTGCATGTCTGTTCTTCATATCCTTTCCATCTTGCCATTTTCTTTTGTTAAATCCTTCTTGCTTCTGTTTTCATGTTGTTACTGTTATACAGCTCTTAGTATATAGGATTAAAAAACCTCAAACCCCACGCTCCAGGCTTTTACAGAAGAGAACTCCTTCTATGGCTACAGAGCAGTACAGCTTTGATTTAGAAAACTGTCACAAATCTCACAGTTTGATGTAGGCAGTGAGATGAAAGTAATAAACCAAGAGGAATTCTATAGTATCTAAACTAGGGCAACAGAAAAAGCTACTAACATTTTGCCTGCAGATGAAGTGAGTAAACGGAATAAAGGGGCTGGCTGAGTGGGATTAGCACAAACCAAGTAAGGTTTTAAAAGGTTGCTTAACTTGTGTCATTCAAGTTAAGAAGATACATTGCCCGGGGAACAGCCATTAACCTACCAACAGGGCCAGTAGAAGTCACTACTAGTTGGCTCTGTTTAGTCTTTAACTCTGTCACCCCTGGGATTAGTCATCGTATCTGGTTTCTTAGCAGATACTCAAAGCAACAACGAGGATGGCAGCAAACTGTGGTTTTACAATGTAGTAAAAGCAATTGGGGATGGATGTGATGAGGATAGGAGTGCAAGGGTTCTGAGGAAAAGCATACCGTTAAGTGTGGCATTTCCAGTAGCCAAAACTCTGTACAATGATGTGTTCTTCAGAGCCTGCATCAAAGTGGTGTCTTTTTATGGTCTTTAGGAACACTTGCTAAGAATATCTCTGTGGAAGAAATACGATCCTGATGGATTTCAGTTATTCAGGTGTTCTGTGGCGTGATATAAACCTGTTGATACATTCTCTCAGTTCCTCCTCTTTATTTAAATGTGTGTGATGTATCAGAAGTTTCCTCAAATGAATAATATTCTTACTGAAAGTAAGTGAAGAAAGACCATGCTTGAATGTTCAAAGACATTCTCTTCAAAACGAAAAGAAGTAAATCTAAGAAAAAAAGCTTATGGTATATCTGTGGTTTTTTACAGTATCTATGGTAGGGTGAGGAGCTTTGCAGTTTTAATTTGCCATTCTTCACAGTCCAGTGTTCCTCCTAGTCTTGTCTTTCCTGTTTACTCCCACGGCTGGGTAGGACACACAGATTATTGTGTCCCCACCCCCTCGTTGTTCAAAGGGAAGGGTGATTTGTGCCCTCCCATGCCAAAGGAGCTGTGTCTGTGCCTAATGCTCATGCTGTGAGGACAGAATTGCTGCCTTATCCTTCTCATGTTGCTGCTTCTCACAAAAACATCTCAACAACTGGGATTCACAATTAATGAAACATGATTGTGAGAAATAAACTGGGAATATTTTGGATTTCAATTTTGTGAAACATTTCATTGCAAATAAGCAAGTGTTCTTCAGTGAGGAGAAAATGAGCAGGTGATAGCTTATATTCTTGTAGTTGAGAGGATGGACAGTTGCTTTTCCAATTCTGTTTTTATAATAAAGAAGTGGGGTTTTTTAATCTTCAGATAAGAGTTGGATTACATCAATCTAAAATAGTGATGCAAGGTGTCCACAGAAACATTACCTTGCAACAAAACTAAGGTGAACATAATATTTAACATATTCGTTATTACTATACAGTAAGTTATTTTGCATTTTTACTTTTTTGAAGTGCTGTGGATAAGCTTGGAAACTAGAGGAATATGGGAAGGCTCTTCACTGGGAGGTTAAAGCAGAAAAACCCCTTAGCTCTAAATTACCATGCAGCACAGAAAGTAGTGAAGCTGGTTTGGCAACTCCAGTATAATTGGATATCATTTTGCTGTTTAATGTTAAGCCTAAATGTAAGAATTAATCTCTCAAGGTTCTGACAAGGGAATGTAGAAATTATGCAAATGGAATGCTGTGGTGACAATTAAAACAGTCAGATTTCAACCTTGGAGTCAACACGTAAATTGTGCGAGTGTCTTACAGAAACTGCCCCCTCTTTGTACCTTAATCACTCTGTCCTAACATAGGGGGTTTAAATGATCATCAGGATGTGTTTGACCATATGTGTTTTACCAGAGGTGGTAGAATTGTCCTTTATATACTCCATATTTTTAAAGAATTGTTGCCTTGCAATTCCTCATACAGTCAGAGTAAATTGTTTGTGATCCTTGGAGTGATCAAAAATGTGGAAAGCAAGGATTTAGCAGTTACTTTGTCTATTTCAAGATTTATTTTTTTAAATATTTATGAAAAAAATGTTCAGTGTATATATTAATTTTGTCAACTGTTGCACTACAATCAGAGAATTTATTTTCATATGCCTTTTGCTAGATAAAGATCTGTATAAACTTTAGTCTTACCCTTTTTTGTGACTGCCTAGATTACAGCAAGAGATGCATGAAACACCATCTTTACCTTACTCAGAATTGTGTTCACATAATTGAATAGAATGTTTCGAAATTTGCCTTTGAATTGAGAACAGTTTTGAAGCATTTCAGCCCAGAAGGGAGCTTCTATTAAAACACTGACATCTGGGTTTCAAATAACATGGCCACATCAGTCCCAGCTAAAATGTTACTGCAGCTGTACCCTAAATACAGTAATAGTCTTGGTCTGAGACTGGGTAGTGAAAGTGGCCTCCTGTCTGTTCCCAGGGGGCTTTCTCGGAGTCACTGAGAATCTTTGCACCAGCAGCCAGGCACTCAGTAATGGGCCACAAAAGAGAAACTCTAAATCACTTAAGGAGTTTACAGAAATGAGCTGCTGTTACTTGGTACAACTTCTAATATGGAAGTAGTTTTGTAGAACTATGGCTGATAGTTTGAGGGGGGAGTGGTTACATGCTTGTTTCTTTTAAAATACATCTTTTTTTCTTCTTTGATTTTTTTCTTAGACCTCAGTAATGTCATGAATTCCACTTCAAATATAAAGGCTGTAAATGGAAAAGCTGAAAGTAGCGACAGTGGAGCGGAATCAGAAGAAGAGGGGCTTCGTGAAGAAGAAGAAAAAGAACTGCAGATAAATGGAAAGGGTATGTTTTCTGGACCATTGTCTCTGCCAAAGTTATTCTTAACCACCTAAATGGCAAAAAATCCCAAAGAACCATGAATGTTTTTCAAGAGAACTAGGTGCAAATACACATGGATGCCTGTGTGAACAATGTCTGTCTCTCAGCCTAGGTTATAAGAATTAAAACTAGTACAAATTTGTGAGCTATGCTGTACAGTTTTTCACTTGTGTGGCAAGTTCTGTCTGTAGGTTAGATAAACATCTATACCCTTTATTGTTTTGGGTTTTGTTGCCAGTGCTTTTTGTAAGAGCTGTGAATGGCTACATGGCCTGTAAGTGTAGCATTGAAAATTACTTCTTTTTTTTCTTCAGAGAAAATAAAACAGAACTCTCAATGTGACTCATTTAGAGGGTCCATAAAAATTTTGATGCTGGAAACACCATCTAGTGAAAACCAAATTATATATTTAGAATTCTATACAGATTTTTTCCTCCAAGGACATTAGGATTATTATTTAGTTTAGCATAGAGACCTGCTTTGGATTTGCTTACTTATGTTTCAAGTATCATCTGCTCTTTATGCAAACTAAATTTTATATTTACGGTTTTTACAGGAACAGAACAATCCACACACATGTGAATCCAGGAGCATTTACGTGTTTTGTTCTGCAGATACATTATACATACAGTCCATTAGAAAGTGAGCTACTTGAAGAAATATATTTTGAGCTATTTGGTGCATAGCTTTCTCTTTGCAAAGTTCTCTTGTTCTTTTACAGACTATAAGAATGCGAAACCCGAATCAGCAGCTGCTAAGGATTTGGAAGGTATTGTTAGGAATGGCTGTTACAAGGACAGCTTTATCACAGATATGCAGAATGGCATCCAGACCAAATCTGCCTTGAATGGCTTGAACCCAGAGGAAGAAACAAATAAAGAGGAGCCAAGCCTAGAAATAGCTAATAACAGTGCTCACCAAGGTATTGTCCTTACAAGACCATGTTTTCATTTGCACATGTTTTTAATGGAAAATACTCTTTTCTTGAAAGCTCAGTCCTGGGATTCAGAGACTAGCAGTGGTGTCTCAGTTGCAGAAACCTGAAGACAGAAAACTCAAAAAAAAAAGAATTAATTCCAGTTTAAAATAAGGCTTTCTCTTAGGATCTCCTACAGAAAGAGAGATGAATTGAGAAACAGAGGGGCCCAAACCCACAGAAATAGAATTGTTTTCTTGTATATCATTATGCTACCGAAATGAATACTGTTGGCCTTTGAGAGTGAATCTGTAGTAAAATAAAAATCACTAATATCATATTTATCGTTCTCAGAGGCTGAACATGTTATAAATGCCAGTTTGTTGAAACTGAGGTCTAAATATATAGTTTTAAAACTAACATAACTTCAGGCAAAACTGCTTTTTACTGAACTAAGGAAGGAGAGTGGAGTGAACAGGGTAAAATTAAAATTTATAATACAGAAATGTCAGTATGAGATATAGTTTTCCCACTAGTAAATGGAAAAATAAATATAATTCCTATATTAATATGACCTCTTTATTCAGAATTTAAGTTTAGGATGACAATCATAGATAAAAGGGCTGTGAATTGAGGCTCACATTTTAACTCATTGCTTTACTCTTTGCCAGGGTCGTCTCAAGTGACTCACATTTACAAAGAATGTGTACTATCCCCTTTCCCTACAGGTGCAAGTGAAGACAATACTGAAGAGATCTCAGCAACTCAGCACTTAACCAGTGATTCAGACAGTGAAGTTTATTGTGACTCTATGGAGCAACTTGGACTAGAAGAGGTATGGGATTTAGTAGTCCCTGGGTGTATTTTGGAACTGCTATGCTTATTTTTAAATAGGCTCCTCTTTATAAGGTGAACATAGACATGGAGAGGTAAATGCTGTCTTTCTGTTTGAAATATCGGATTATGTTCTTTTTATTGTCAGTCTTTTACAACTTGGTTACTGCTGATCTAAAAGCCTTGAAATTTTTGCCCTCAGAGAATTTATTTGAGGGGAAGGGATGAAAAACAACAGTACAAAGAAACAATTGTCAAAAACCCCAAAACAAACCAGTACAAAGAAACTAATATCTGTGCCCACAAATTAATTTAGGATCTCATAACATATGTAGGGAGCAGAATTCAGCTATTTCTAGGAAACAGGAAGTGTCTTTGTAACAATGAACTTTTTGCTTGCTCTTTTTCTGGCCTGATGAATCCTGTGTTTGTTTCTTAGAATAAATAAAGAGTAAGCCTTAGCAGGTGGCCTGTAGGCCAGTGCCTAAAAGTGGCCTAGGTCTAAAGAAGTGGGAGATAACAAGGATTTCTGTGTTCTCTTGTATTCTCTTCAGTCGTAATATACAGCTCTGACTTTCATCTAAAAGGTGGGCACCAACTGTGCTGCCATAGTTTTGACTGAATTTGTGCTCCTGCTCTTGTAAACTGCAGTCTTAGCTGCCTTACTGGCTTGGACCTCCTTCAGAGTTCCAGTTTAAGTGTGGACTTCATAAATCGTACTCAAACACCTTGTTTCCTGATTCTGGAGAGGAATCTGTGGATGATGCACAGGATCAGAAAGATCAGTAGGCACTCTAATATTTCATCATTCTCTTGTCTAGCTCTTTCCTGAGTAAGCAGAAAATTTTTTTTAACAAATTTTACCTGGTAATGAAGAATGTTGAGAAAGGTAATTTGATAGAAGTACTGCAAGCTGTCTTATCTAGGTGATTTCCCAATCATCTTGTTTATTGTTCAAGCTTGTTTGAGATTCATTAATTGAAGTGGGTGGATAATTTGTCAGAGTTTCCCAACCTGCATGAGAAAAGTTCTAGTTCTGCACAAAATAACAAATGTTCAGGTATATGTAAATAAATATAAAGTAGAATTATAGATCAGTCAATTCAAACTAGAAGAGGTTCACTTAAATAATTAAATACAGCTTTTACTTGGAACAGATGTAGCAAGCACTCTGCCCTTCAGTTCTGGTGATCCAGGTTTTTGAACTGCTGTGTGACAAATTTGGGCAGCAGTTTCCATTTCTGTGTCCCTCCTTTTGGTTATTTTGGCTTTTCCATGAAGTTATTTTTCAGCTGAGGTCCCCAGTCTGCTTCAACATTTGCTTGTGCAGGTGCTTGTCCTGGCCCTGAACAAAGGGTTGCTTGAGCCACTGTAAGGCCGTGCTGTTGCAGAATGTGTCATTGTGGCCTGAACAGCTTTTATGTCATCCATTTTTAGTGTCTTCCTGTGGTACCACTGATTTTGAGTGAGAAGTCGATAGAACACTCTGCCTTCCTTTTGTTTGGTGAGAGGTGCAGGTGCAGCCAAGCTGTTCTGGACAGGTTGATAATAAGCAAGGGGATCTCTTTGCCGTGAGCGCAGACAGTGCCTACTCAGGGTTGCTAATGGCATGTGACTTTTGACTGTGTGGCTCCCAAATTCGAGTTGAGACTGTTTCACTGTCTAGGAAGCAAAGCAGATTTGACAAGGAAAAACTGAACATTTTCAGATCTTAATGTTCTGATTTAGTGATTACTAAGTACTACTGTATGTCGGAAATATCTAAAGAAATTCCAGTGGTATCACTGTTCTGAGAGTATTTGCTTCAAAGGCCCTTTCAATCTGAAAATGACATTTAGACAATAGTTAGTACATTCTATGGGAAAACAACTGTTCCCCTTAATAGAAAAGTCTTAATTATGGGCAAAATATTTTCTTAACGTGAAAGTAGAGATGATGTTTCTTCCTTTTTGATGGTAAACTGTCATATTTTACAGAATTTAATTACTTGCTAATGTTAATTTGTAGCCCTTGGAGATCATCACATCAGCTAAAGGATCTTTAAAGCATTCATCCCATTTCTTGGATGTAGATCACAGTCTTCTATTAGAAAATATGGATTTTCCAAGGCGCACTTGCATGACTTACGGGAATCTCCAATCTGGAAATACTGGAGAGGGAATAGCTGAAGAACAAGGTGAAGTCAAATGTGGAGGAGAAGATGGCAAAGCCGGTAATGGGGGCCCTCACAAGGAGAAAAAAGGTGGAGAAAAAGCAGATTTCTACAGTGTCAGAAGAGGGAGAGGTACTGTGCACACTGTGTTTGTGTTCCCCCTCTCCTCACTGCCATAAGTTACTGGTGCCTGACAAGAACTTCCCAATACTGTCCAATAAGAGAGTCATTTATATAGTGCTTCTGTCCTTCACAGTAACAATAGATAACAAAATGCTAATTACAGTGGGTAACCTTATGTTCCAGCTGCTGTTGTGGCACCTGGCTTTTTAGAAATGTAATCATCAAAACCAGCCTGTGCCTAAGAAGAGTTTTTTTAGAAGTTACATATTTATTGATAAATACATATGCATTTATACCTCTGTGGTGGCTTATTTGAAACCATGGAATGGCTTGGAAAGGTATGAGTGACACATTGTTTTGTATATTATTGGAATGTTAGCCACACCTTTGAGTGATCCTGATACTATCCATTATGATTCTTAAAACTTAATGATTCTTAATCACATAATAGCCCAGATGTTCAATTTATGTTGGACCTCTGCTCTTTTTAATTCCATAATACTTCTAATACCGTCACCTAGGAGCAGCACCATATTCCAGTGATATGATCTGTAAAGTCAAGGATAAAATTATTTTTTCTTGTACAAAACAAAAAAAGGCAAAAAGTATTTTATTTGTATATAGCATGCCTTTTGTATGGCACCTATATGTAATCAGATGCAAAAATTCAAAAGAAAATCCAAGTAGAACATTTAAGTTTAAAACTATTATGAAGAACATACTACAGTTTAACTATCTCCTCTCTTTTGTTGTTTTACTGAAGTTTGTTACTTGCAGGCAGAAACATGATATTCTAGTTGTAGTTGTATCTAGTTTAAGGGGGTATTGTAGGTTTCAAATAATTACCTTTCCTTGTCACTGTATTCTAGTGATCTTTGTTTTCCAGCTGAAGACTGCCAAATTTAGAACAGACCTACGCTTGATAATAAGACAGATCTTACTTTCTTTTCACTAGGGCAGAATTTACTGCTGAACTTGTCTGGATGTGAATTAATAGTTTTTTCCTAAATATTTTTGCAGTTCTAGGAACTTGAATGATACTGTCACACTGAGGCTGTAGGGAAACATCTCAGGACATTTCAGTGACCTCCCAGTGCTTCTGAACTGTCTGAATACAACCTCTGATGAGGAGTACCACACTCCTGGGTGGAAACTGAGGGAGGAAGGTGAACTGTTAAACATTTTCAAGAGAGTTGGTAGCCCATTCTGTGTTTTATGTTTCTGGTTTTTTTCTCCCTCAAAACAGGGCATAGACTTCAGCCTTTAGGAGACGGTTCCCAGGGTGGCCAGATGGGTAGTGGAGGGGACGGTGAGCGCTGGGGATCCGACAGGGGACCCCGGGGAAGCCTCAATGAGCAGATTGCAGTGGTGCTGATGCGGTTGCAAGAAGACATGCAGAATGTCCTCCAGAGGCTGCATATGCTGGAGGCAGTTACAGCATCACAGGTACTGTTCTTTGTAGTTATTCAGTTACTTTTTATGAAATGTCCTTGGACATTTGTGTGCTTTTTCAGATGGAAATTTCAGATGATATTTTCTTAAACGGTGAAGACATGTCAGTTACATTCTGTAGTTTAGTCCAACTTAAAATTTCCTATTGGTACCTACTCTCAGGAACACAATTCAGGACTCTTTTACATGTGAGCAAGAACATGTATTTCAACTTAGAAATTAACCATATATTATTTTACTGATCTCTGATCAGACTAATCTTAGCCATAGTTATTGATACACATTACACAGTCGCTATATATGGAGATTCCATAGTTAATGTTAGTAATACATGATCCCAGAGAATTTCTTCATCACTAGATCTCAAAGCATTTTCAAAGGAAGTGAGAAATTATCTTAATCTTTCAGACCAGTGAATGTTTGCAGGCAGAATTTCTGATTCCATTTTTCAGTTAGCAAGACTGATTCTTCACAGCTGTCTTTCCTCATGAAGTAATCCAGCTTTCCTGGAATTTCACATTATGTACACAAGACAGGCAAAGGAAGTCTTAAGTAATTGTAGATATTTACTGATGTAGTGTTTCTTTTTCCTTCTGTTTCAATGGAAATACTGTGTCTTCAGGAGAATAGAACATGTTGTGAATATAGTTGATTCAGAAACCTGGAAATGTTTGGTTTTGTTTGACTTGCTGATACATTCTGATCTACCTGAGAATGAGAGATCTGTACAAGCAGTATCCTATGGGATGCACATATTCCAAATCTAAGGCAGCTAGGGAAAAGGATTTATTAAAACCATGATTTTGCTGCATCACAGCTATTCCAGAATCTAATGTTTTGAATACAGATTGATTTTCTTTTTTTTTGCCTGAGCAATATATGAAGAAATAGTAAAAGATTGTTCTCCAGCAGTTCATGCTGTGCTTGCTACCCATACCTAAGGAGAAACAGCAGCTTCTGTTTCACACTTACATAAGTTAAGAAAGACCTAGAAAACCAGCTGCTTTGTTTTTGTGGAAGCACCACAATAGTGTATGGGAATAGTCTTGAAAAGTTTCTGGTACTTTCATTTTCAGGATTGTATGGAAGATATGGAACAGAGTATTCTCTTTCCTTTATGGTGTTAGACATGGCTGTAGCTGTAGCTCAGGGCAGACTAAAACAGTGCTTTGACCTCAGTATAGAGTAGTGTTGAAACATGTCATCATGCAAATTAAGCTGGTGGGATTTCTGCTCTGGGTCAGAACTGGGACTGGACCAGATTTGAGGAAGTTGCAATGACAGGTTGAACAAGGGGGCCTTCACAAACTGTAAAGAGGTCCAGTAAGTGCATTGACTCATTTTCTAAGACACAAGAGATGTGATAAAAATGCTGTAAAGAGTAGTGGAAACATCAGCGGTATGTGGTGAAAGGGGTGTTGCATAGGAGTCGTTCTGTGCATTAAACTGTGATATATACAGATTGCAAAGCCTTCACAAGATGAAAACCCTCATATTCTTGTTTTGTGAAGCAGAAAAATTTTAATTGAAGTTTCCTTTTTTATACTTATCAGCCTTTGTTTGTATTTAAAGGCAAAATCTGCAACACCACAGTCAAATTACCAGCCCGCCTCCTCTGTCAAGGTAAAATACTGTTTTTACTATTTGTAAAAAGCATTGTGAACTGTGAAAAAAGATGAGCTGAATATTTTATCTCTAGCTCTTGGTATGTGCTTTTTGTATTGTCTCTTCCTTGACTAGGAAATAAAAAATAATCTGTCTGAAGAAATTACTTGATAGATAAATCTTTTCTTCTGGGATTATTTTCTGCTTTGGTACTGTAGCATTTGAAGTGATTTAGAATTATACAGGTGGTATTCAATATTTGCACACAGATTGCTGACTGGAATTTTTTTCTGTTTTCCTTAGAAACCATCATGGTGGCCCTTTGAAATTTCTCCTGGTATTTTAGCTTTTGCTATTGTATGGCCGTTTATTGCCCAGTGGTTGGTACATGTGTATCTTCAAAGAAAGCGAAGGTAAAGATGTGCATTCAATAGGACCCATATACTGTGTTTCACCTGTTTTAAACCAACATATAGTATACTGTGTTACTTAGACAGGGCATAAAATTCTCTGCCTTGAAAGTATTGGTTAATTTGACTTTATATGTGGTAGGCTTTACGTGTGGCAACTTAGGCTAAATCTGTGAAATGTGATGCAGGGCAAATAATTTCAGCGAGCATACACAAGTGGGTGAGGGTGGATAGCTTGGAAACATCTCCATGACATTCTTTGATCCCCTTACTCCTGATAGCCTCTTGAGCCATTTTCACTGTTTCTAGACTTTCCAGTCCCCTTGTGCCATGAGAAGTTTTTTTCCTATCACAACCTTTGTGGAGTGCCACCTGTCACCTATTTCTTATTTAACATCTACCAGTACCTTACTGTGATATTTTTATATCATCTACTTTGATTTCCTTCAGCTGAAGGACAGTTGTACTCTCATTTTGCCTTTTCTCTCAACTCTCCAAGCATCAGAAGATCGAGTGTTCTCTAGTGGCTGTCTACTTCAGCCTCACACTTGACTTTGTTGGCTCAATATGCTCTTACCTTTTATGTTTTTTTCTTCTATCAGTCTGCAGACAGTTTGTATGTGTGTAGATCATAGGAGAATTAGCTAAAACTGGTTTAGCTTTTTGATGTTTGATAGTTTTCATGGTATAGTTTTCTCTCACACAGTAAATCACAGAAACACAGAGTGGTTGAGGTTGAAAGGGGGCTCTGCAGCCCATCTGGTCCAACCCCCCCTACTCTACTAGGGACACCTGGATGGAGCTAGTTGTCCAGGACTGTGTACAGGCAGTTTTTTAATATCTCCAGGGAGAGAGACACCACCACCTCCCTGGGCAACCTGTACTAGTGTTTATCTCTCCTCAGTGGTGCTCCAGTCCTTTAATCATCTTCATGGCCTTTTGTTGGACTCTCTCCAGTTTGTCCATGACTCTCTTGTACCCAGAAGTGGACACAGCACTCCAGGTGTGGCCTCTCCAATGCTCAGTAGAGAGGAAGGATCACCTCCCTCAACCTGCTGGGAGGATAATGCAGCCCGCAATACCACTGGCCTTTGCTGCAAGGGCAGGTTGCCAGCTCATGTTTAACTTGGTGTCCCCTTGGATGCCCAGATCCTTTTCTGCCAAGCTGCTTCCCAGCTGGGCAGGTCCCAGCATGTACTGGTGGCTGGGATTGTTTCTCCCCAGGTGCTGGACTTGGCATTTCCCCTTGTTGTACTTCATGAGGTTCTTGTCAGCCTGTTTTTCCAGCCGATTGTGGTGCCTCTGGATGGCAGCACCACCCTCTGGCATATCAGCCACTCCCAATTGTGTGTAATGTAGAGATTGCTGAGGGTGCACTCTGCCCCATCATCCAGACCATTGCTAAAGGTGTTTCACAGGACTGGCCCCAGCACAAACCCCTGGCATCACCGCTAATTACTGACCTCCAGTTAGACTCCTGTCACTGATCATCACTCTTTGGGCCCAGCCCATGGAACTGTAAACAATACACCGCCCACAAAGGCTGCAAGTCTGCCAGGGAGTTTGGCTCAGAGCTGTCATTGGGAGTGTTGGTGTTACTGCTCTGTCTGATGAAAGGGATTGCACTACTAAGGCTTTCAGGCAGTTACGCACATTTTGCTCATTTTCTCTACTTGTTGAATGGAGATTTCCATTTCATCAGCAAGGACAAAGTTGTTTTTTTTAAATCAACACAGGTTTTTTTAGTATCTTATGTGAAGCTCTTATGATGTTTTGCTAATTGCTCTTGCATGGCCATGTTCTCTTGCTCTCTCTTTGAACAGTTGCTGTTCTTGCAAACCTTTTTTGATATCTGTTCTCACCTCTGTAGCACCCTCAATCCATTCACAGGTTCAGTGAGAAATCAGTTGTTAGAAAAGCACCCTTACCAGCAATTTTTCTAATATATTGTCCTAGTGATTCAGAGCTTAGATGAGTAAAAAAACGGTACATTACTTTTAGTTTGGATTTGTCTAGCTTCAGTTTTCATTCATTGGATTTTCCTAGATCTTTATCTATGGGGCAAAGAGCCCATGGTGTGTTTTCCATGAGTACTTTATTGCTATCACCAAGTCATCTTGTGTTCTCTTTCTTAAAACAAATGGAGCAACTGGAATCTCAGTTTGTTTTCCAGTCTTGGGATGATTCTCGTGGCCCTTACCCAAATGTTTCAGTTTTTCAACATTCTTTTTGAGTTCAGGATTCGTACCACATTGTGTACCACAGTGTGAGACACAGATATAGCACAGCCCCACGTTTTGTTTACTCATTCATGGATTGTACTGAGATGAACTTCAAGAACAGAAACTAAAGACTTTTCTGTGTTCTTCAGCTTTTCTCTCTGTTTCTGACAGTCTGCTCATACCCAGAATTTAAGGACTATCTGCTTCTTCATCACTTCTCCATCTGGAGTTCCATCTCCTTTAGCAGTGTGTGGGAAGTTGATCAAGTACACTCAGTGAGAAAATGGAATTGCAAAAACAAGTCCTTCTTTGTTGTCCCATTGCCAGTTTCAGCTTGTACTCTGTTAAGGTGTGCAACCTCTTAGGCAACACCTGTATTGTGCCTGTATTGATCATGTCTGTGTACTTTTGGTTTTAAAGTACCTAAACTGTCCTGGAGCAGAAGCTGGGAGTCTGAGCTGAGGTTTTCTCATCCTGCAGCTGTGGAGCCATAACTCCTGAACTCTTTCACACAGTGGAGCAAATTCTATGGAATTGGTGGAGGGACAACTTTCTGTAACCAACAGCTTTGTGTTTAGCTCATGTCCCTGGGCAGGGGTAGCTCAGCTCTCTCCCAGCACCTCTTAACCTGTCTCCTGCTCCTTTATGGGGAACTTAATGCTGAAAATTTGGGTACTTGTATTGGAGCCTTCACTGAAGAAGGCTTGAAAACCAGATCACAGATAGAAATATATTTTTAATTCAGCTCATGCTTTTAGAACCCTCTAATTGTATGTTTTCTGGAGTCACTGGCAAAACAGCTCTAAAGTGTTGCTGTGCTGTGAGCCAGCACGCCACTGACTGATGTGGTCAGGGACTGTTCTGAGGAATTCCATCTTCAGTTCAGAGTTCTTAGTGAATTTTGTACTTGAAGCCATGTAATGTTTTATCTGATTAGAAATAATTTACATTTAACTTCAGTTAATTTGTTTGTTTAGACAAATGAAAAATTGTCTCCTATGTGAAGGTACATTAAACTATTTGGTTCCTCTTCTAGAAAACTGAACTGAGAATTCATGGCTTTGCATAAGGACTTCTAGGAGAAGATGGCCCTGGAAAGCAAAGGAATTCTGAATTCTCATAGAATGTCAGAATCTGGGATGATATTCCTTATGTTACAGTAATAATTTGTACTACCTTTGAGCTAAACATTTAAGGACTAATATTATTGAAACTTGAATGATTCACAGCTCCTAGGTTGCAAATAAATTTAATAATTCCATCCTCAAAACCATACGAACATTAATTATTTTGGAATGTGCTTGTGGATGGGCCTTCAGTAATTACTGGCCTTGCTGATGTCAGCTGAGGAAGAGAATAACATCTCTGTAAAAGAATAAGTTAAAAATATGTAAAACTATCACTTTAACATAAAAATAATTTTACAATCCCAACTTCCCTGCCTGTTTTTCCACAGGGTTACATAATACCAGGTGAAAGCTCTAATAAAGTATGAATCCAATACGTTGCAAGCTGTTGGAAATATACAATATAGCTCTGAGGAATCTACTGGTTATTTTTTGCTGCTAAACAAGTGTGGGGCAAATTTCCACGTAAATTGGTCATAAATGAAGTTGAATCCTTTACTTATCCTGTAAAATTGTAAAGGCAATTTGGGAATTTGTATATGTTCTGAAAGTTAGAGCCATTAATAACAGGTGACTGTCAAATACAAGTCTGGAAACAGTGTGTGGTACAAGGGATCCATGTAAAGAGGAGGCTGCACCTTATCTTTTTAACTTTGATAATTGTACTCTTGTTGACAACAGTTTATTTTAACTGAAATACATAGTTTAGGCACAAGGTGCTTTAAAATGAGATGAAAACTAGCTCTGTAAGTCTATCTCTAAGCTTTTAAAAAGCTCAGTGCACTCTAAGTTTTCTGTTGTCAGGTTGTATTAAATTGAAGTAAGATTTAATCCATTGTGGACTTTTCTCAAGTCACATCTTGAAAAATACCAATTCTGGTATTTCTCTCTTACCCTTCTACTTACTTTCAAAACAAAACTATTCAGCTAATTTTGGTGCTGATATTTCCCCCTCCCCCCCAAAGTATTTATTAACCAATATACAGATAAGAGTTACAGTTCTGTCAAGTTTGCTTGACTAAAGCATGCTTTACACTTGATTTTAAAATAAATTAATATATAAGTTGTCTAAATCTCTGGAAAAGGCAAATGCACTAAAATTAGATTTGACAGAGAACTTAATAATTGCTATAAGAATTATACCACAACATAATCCATGGTTAAGCTCTGAATCTTCAGAAACTTCATGATTATTGATGAACTTTCATTCTCCACCTGGACTACATATTACAAATAATTTTTAAGGAAAGTTTTTTTGTCCTTCCTGAAAATCTTTTATAGTTTGGAAAACATTTTTCATACAAGCTATACTGTATAAAAATGTAATCAGAGAATTTAATGTTTGTTTTACCAGAGAAATTTTAATCTTTTTAGTTACACGCAGGGTTTTTTTTAGTTACATTTCCCCTCTTCTGATTTTCTTACTGTAAAGCTGAATTAAAAATTAAATAAAATGGTTGTAATCTCTTTGAAGACTGCTGTAACAGTTAGATGGTTCTGTGTGCCAGAGATGAGTTTGTGGCATGAGATACCCTGAAAACTCAGGTTTGAACAAAGCTTATCCTGGAAGGGAAGTGCTGCTGTGACCTGAAGCCCTTGTGCCCAAGCTTAAAGTTTCTAGAGTGATTGACTTTTTACCACAAAAGATATAAATCATACAGGAAGGATAGTCTAGCTTGAAGGTCACATGAAAAATAACCCCCCTGTCCTGTCTTCTGCCAGGACAAAGCACCCTGGAGAGCCTCCCTGGCTCAGAGCTGTGTTACACATAGATATCAAGCTCTTAGAGGTGGGACAAACATTCCCAAAGGTACTTAATTGTTAACTTCCCACTGAAATAAATGTGGGCTTGTACTATCCTTGTTATTTATTCATGTTTCAATAAATCAATCCCTTAATATTTTGTATTTTATCTTGAACTTTCTTAATGTTTACTAAATGGCGTACATTGGATGCTGGGACTGTACAGAAGAGCCTGCTGGCTGTGTCATGAAGAATCGGTCTCAACCTTAAAAGTTGTAATACAAAACAACATCACTTTTATAACAATTTACTTGTAACTCAGAACTGGGCCTCAGCCTCTAGGGTTATCTCAAACTCACTGAGACTGGAACAGATTCCTAGTTAACTGGTATTTCAGATTAAAGTTAAGAAAACTTGTGTGTTTTTTTTTTTTTAAATCACCTCTCCAGGTACAAAGAGACACAGCTTTACTGTGGAGGAAGTGGCATAAGCAGATCACTGGAGCTCAGAACTGGTATATATTGTTCAAGCCTGTGCTCTCCTCAGGAGGGCTGGCAGTCAAAGCAGTTCTGCACAGCACTGAAACAGCTTCACCCAGCTCAAAATTGCACTTCTGAAGCAAATGTCAAGCTGGTTTCCTGCAGCGAGCCAAGCTTCATTTAAAAAGCAGAGGTTAGCTCTGTATAAAACCAGATTGGAGACATTCCACCCACTAAATGTTGATAATAGAACCAAAGCAGAGCCAGATGTAAGTGTGCATGGTGCAGCTGTTCCATGCTCAGGGCCTTGTTTCTTCTCCTCTGCTCCTGTGGCAGCACAGCAAGTGCTGAGGAGATGACCATCTTTTTTTGAATCATTCTAGTTACCACAGAGGAGGAGGAGGGTCCCAGAAGGCATTACAGGCCAGCTTAGGACTTTGCTCTCCTGCCATTAAGTACACAAATGTAGCTTCTAGTAAAGACTGCAGACAGAGGTTATGAACAGCAAGTTATGAACTGAAGGCCGTACACACCTGTACTAGAAAGTATTTGTTATTTCCCTACACAAAATCACTCCTTGCTGAGGTAGTAGGAAATGGAGTTTCCTTGTGTGAAATCCACTTCCCATGTTCCCAGCAGGGTCAAAAGTATACCAGTTTAAAGAACAACAATATTTTATTTAATAGAACATTTTTTTTAATATATTTACACAAAACGTGCAAAGTAAATTTTTTTGAGAGGAAAAGAACGCATTTCATTGCAAGAGTAACCGTAGGTAAACCAGATCATGCTGAAATTGGAATCTCCTGACTCAATAACACAGGGCATTCAGCATCTTGGCCCCCGAACACTGCACTGTACAGGGGAGCCCAACAGCAAGTAAGGGGTAGGAGTAACTGTCCAAGACTGCTATTTCTGTATAACAAAGTGTGACACTGATCTCTGCAGTAGTTCTTAGATGGACAGGCCTGTGCTAATGGCAGGTAAACTGTCTCCCAAGATAAACTGGAAGCTACAGTTTATATGTAGGTCATGCACATCAAGTTTAGGCCTTCAGGAAGCACCATGTAACAGCTGGAGTACTTGCAAAGTGATATGTTCCACAGCTTCTAAGGATCAGAAACTTAATTAATTAATTAATCAGCTTACTTAATTATTTGTAAATAATTACTAATGAGAACGAGCCTTAAATCTCTTCCAGCTACCACATTATAGCTTTTTGCACTTTTACCTGTAGTATTTCAAGTGATGCAACAAGTGGGGCAAAACTGAGAGTTGACAAGGAATTCCATGTTGAACGACAAAGCTAAAAAACCACCAACTACAAACAAAATCACACCACAAACCCCAACAATCAACATGTTACACTCAACTCCATGTTTGCTATAAGCAAGATAAATGCAAGATACTGAAGAGAACGGGGTATTGCACATCTTCAGTGCTGATGGTGCAGAATTTAAGTTTTGGACACCACTGTAGTGGTAACTTTATACTAAATATTTGGATTTGTCTGTTGGTCTTTTTACTGTTTTTACAGAATCTATGTTTTTGTATTGCATTAATCAACAGGTAGAAAACTAACAATTTTCTTTTAGAATAAGGTTTTTACAGAAGCTTACTTGACCTTTGTGACTGATTCAGAACTGTTTCAAGGGGTTAGAGGTTTTCTTTAAAAGACCATACCACTGCAACAAGTTTTTCCACCTTGATGGGAACATGTTATACTGCAAAATGGGAACAGGTGTAACCATTTGTAAAGCACTGAAGATAAAGAGCTGGTGTGGTGTTCAGTTTATATTATTTACTCAACATGTAATCATAGTCACTTTCTTAAATCAGATTACTAGAAATGGAAGAATAAATTTTATAAAACACCAGTGATTACATAACCTAAGGTATCCCTCCTACCCCAATTTATATATTTCAACTGTACAGCAGAAACCAAAGAATTTCTCATCACATTCAGAGAACATTGTTTATGGATATTGCTTCAGTAGTGCATTAATTTGTTGGCACCTTTTTCATGTAACAGGAGTAAGAGACTGAACAATTTAGAAGTTTTCTGAAACTGCAATCCTTAGCAAAAGGAGTGAGACTCGCTGTATGTTTTACAACATGTTTGAGTTATCATACCTAGAGCTGGGATTAGTCATTTTGAGCTCTTAAGAATCGCTTCTCTTTAGGTTTTTCTAGGAAACTTCCATTTTCTTCACCTTTCCCATTCCTTTCCCAGCAACCTGAGGGGACAGCAGGAAGCCTAGCAGACACTGTTTGCTCAGAATTGCATCAATAAATCCTGTCTTCCAGGAAGCAGGGTAATGAAAGGACAACTTGCTACTGCTACAGAAGGGGTCAGTGCATGAAACTACTTTTACCACTTGGCAAAAATCAGTAGTAAAATGCTCAGCTGGCACGTGGCCCTTGGCTGGCATCTGTGATTTTTATCTAACAAGTACAAACCTGAAAAATTAAAATCTTCATTCAGTTAGCAGAGAAAGGTACCTATGCAACAAAAACACTGAAGATTATTTAAACAGAATTATCTAAAAATAAACCTCTGAAACCTAGCAGATACAAGTTTTGTGTTGCATTTAAAGATAGGTATAAGTATACTTTAATCTAATTCAGATTTATAATACTGAATATACACTTCTATCTTACGTTCTAGTAAAAATCTAAGCTCTCGTGAGTTTGCAGAACAATCTGTGAGTTTGCAGTACATAATAGTCTTCAGTATATAGCAGGTTCAGTATGAATACTGCTTCACTTGTTAAAAACCAAAATCACCTGTTAGCTGACATCTGACAGCAGTGAGCACACACACACTGGGCATTTTCTAGGTAAAACTAGTAACTGCTAAAATGTATGTTGAGTCCAGCTTCGTACAGCCCAAGTGGTTACAATGCAACAATTTGAGCAGAGGATTTATTTAACAGAGTTTAAGGAGTGCTTCCAACCCAGCCTGTCATCACAGCAAACTGCCAATAGATACAGTTAGTATGCATTTTTGTCCTTTCCATATTATGTTTAGCTGGGAAATAACATCACACCTCCTAACTGGAATTACTCATTGCTATGCAAAAGCCCCATCATTGTCAGGAGTTACCAGCTCCAAGACATTCAATGTTCTGGCTTCTTAGTAAGGTGCAGTGAGCCCACAAAAGGCACTTGATACCAGTTACATACAATAGTTTCACTTTAGAATAAAGGAGACTATAATAAAAAGACTGGTCATGTAAAACACACTAAATTTGGCAAGGAAACTTAGTTAAGACCAAACTAGTGTTGCCAGATAACCTGTAAGTGTGCAAAACCATGGAGAATGTTCACTTATCTTGATGCTACAAGCTAAATCCAGACACAGTCAGGTGCTGAGCATTATTCCTTGCTTCAAAGTAAGAGGTATCAGTTTCATCATCCGGCTGAGGTATAAACGGCATGGTTTGATTCTGCAGATTATCCCAGTCCACACTGTGAAAGAGGGGGTGACGTTTCAGCTCTGGAACAGAAGTTCACATAAGCATTATAAACTTCCTCATGGCCAAGCCCCATAGGCACTTTGTTCCCTTATGCATAACTGTCACTAAATTTGCTCTATATTCCTTTTTAGAAATTCATATAAGTGCAAATTGCAATTGGGCTTTGATTACCCCCAACCTCAGTGGCATCAAACTGTTGTCCTGCCAACTAGCTGCCTTCCCCTGTCCAGGGAACCTGTTCCACACAGAGCGGATCAGAGATGTCCCAGAGACATTTCTCATGCTGGGGCACCAGACAATTTCTAAGCATCACTTCAAAGTCTGTTTATAATTTTACCAAAGTTCTGTGCTGAGTAAACATGTGGGAGTCACTCCCACCCATCACCACTCCAGGTCCTCTTTCTTTTGCTGTCTCATGGATTTCATTACCTCCTCTGCTTTGCACAATCCCCTTTGGCCAAACACCAGACACAGAAGTCTAAATGCCCTTATGGTGAAGTTACCACAGACCACCAGACTTCACTTTCCCAGCCCAAAGATGGGATAACTAACCAAGCTGCCGGACTTTCTGACTCAAGCAGAACTCCCCTGCCCTGTCCATTCTGACCACAAGGTGACCTTCTGGCACGCAGGTTCTGATATGAATTCTGCATAACATGGAAATACCAGTCCCTTATCAAAATGACTTTGCTACTTTGATTAAATCCAATAAAACACCTTTTCATCTAACTGGGATACAAAACCATGTTTTTATCACCTGCACCACAAAAATCAAAAGCAAATAGCAGAAACAGGACAGGTGAAAAAAATTAAAAAAAAAAAATAATCACATTTGAACAAGGTGGACGTTTGACCAAGACACTCATTACAAATGTACATCTAAGCACATACCACAGGCTTTTAGCTGATAGACAGTAAGACATTAACATTTATTATTTCTGCATTTCCTGAACAAATACAACAACATAACATTAAAAGTTTATTTTAGACAAAAGGCAGAGTGAGTCTTTTATCTCCTTCTAATGGCTTCAGCAGCCACACAAGCAGCAGGGCATTGCACAGATCCACTATCTCAGAACTGTATGTAGTTCTGCTCTTAAAGTTCTCATGCACCAGAAGCTGCCTTTGGCCAAGAAGGTAAAACCAAACTTCTTTGTCTCTTCCCAAGATACTCATGTGTACCACAGCTGGCACTCAACTCCTGCTCACAAGACTGAAGAGAGGAGCAAAAACCAAACCAACACCAGATATCAGTGTTGTCTACCAAAACCTACTTTAAAGCTGCTTATCTGGAGAGATTGAACTCATAGAAGCATAGCAGTAGGACATGACATAACTGGGGTTTCTCAGTAAGTAAGGCTTCATGCTATAGCAATAAAAAGGGAGAGCATGTGTATTGGGGAGGGGAGAGAAGATGACAGCAATGGAAACTTAGGTACAACGAGAGAAACTTAATGGTTGTCCTGAAAACTACTCAGCCAACTTCACATCAGTGGCCTATAAACTGGACAAAGAGATCAGATCCAGTTATAAGGCTTGACAAAGAATGAATTTCCAAGAATTTCAGATTGGAAGAAACCATTATGTGACTTAGTTTAAATTTCTTTCCCTGACAAGCAATTGGATTTCACTCCAAAATCCAGGAATAAAGGCAATAACTTGTGTTTGACTATAACACCTTCAAACTGCTTTTTGGGAGACATTAAAGCCACAGAATTTTCTGCTGACATCATGACCTTCATTTACACTCATGTGCCTCCTCTAATTTGATCTGGCCTGGTTTTAGCTTCTAGCGTTTTAATCTCTTTATGAGTAAGAATTTCCATAGCCATTTCCTTCTCTAGTGATTTCTTGCACGGTTCTCTCATAAGATTTCTTCATCTATTTCCAAAACATCTCACTCTAAGCTTCCTTCATGTTATCAGTTCTTTTTATATAACATAGTCACTGTTAACAACGACAAACATTCAAGTCCTTCTAAAAGGGGAAAAAGAAAAATATATGTAGACTTTGTATAGTATATATTGTCCAACTCCTCTATGCATTCAAAGACAGGCTGATTCCTAAGTAAAAACTTCTTTGAATTAACTGTTGTAGGAGGATCCTCTCCCAAACTGGAGCCAAAACAGGCTTTTAATCAAGGTTCCCAAAATCATTTAGGTTAAGAACTCCAAGTTAGAGTTAGATAAGAGAGAACTTTGGTACGTCAGATGTCAAACACTAAACATGCACTAAACCTAATTAGGCATTGAAGTTTATTAGTCTAAGTTTCAGGAGGAGGACATCACCACTTTGCAATTTGCAATTAGTTGCAAAGAACACAATTTTTATACTAACCTTTCAGTCCAGCTCTCTTAGTAGTGTCAATTGTTAGAAGAATATCTATTGCATTTTGGGCGTTATCAGACAGCTTTTCTTCACCCTCAGGCCAGGGAATATCTACAGACAAAAATGCAGATGAGTTGGTAACTCAAACTATAAAACAAATGTTGGAAAAACATAGTTACCCTGATTACTGAAACAGATTACCTCTTTTCAAAATATTTTGGAAAACCTGTGCTGGTGTTTCATCATTAAAAGGTGGAATTCCAGTCAGAAACTCAAACAGACAAACTCCGAGGGCCCACCAGTCTACAGCAGAACCTGATAAGAGAAACCCACTTACACAAATAGTATTTGCAAAGACTTGAAGATTAGCCATGGCAGATTGAAGAGTGTTTAAATTCTAAAAATTTCTTGAAAATGAAGGAAAAGACAAAACAAGTTGTATTTAATATTCATGCAGATTAAAAATACATTAAAGGTTTTTTTAAAGCCACTCTGCTTCTTAATTCATTATAGATAACACTGGGTTTACTGATAAAAGCTAGGGGACTCTTATTAACAATCTAATTATGAACTCCTGTCAGAATCCAGGAGCTGACTTCTCCAAGAGATTGTTTTGTGACAAGAAACAGCTGCCTAATGACTGCTCTAGACTTGGCTCTATGTTGTAGCCTGTATCTTCCTCTCAGTTCTTTGAGAAATTCCAAGAATTCAAACTACTGAACATAAGTTTTTATTTGCCTAAATTTATGTGAATATCTTGAAGACAACTTACAGAGATGAGGCAGCACACAAGATGCTGGAATTGCTTTTCATTGAATTGAATTGATTAGGGTAATGTGTAGTTCCTAGCTATCTCTTCTTTGTTATGAAATAGTTTTGGTTTTCCACATTGCAGGGAGGGTTTTTTTGTCAATCCCATTTTAATAATCCACACAAACACAACCCAGCAAAGCAATCCCAGGCACCGCTGCATGCATTCTAAGCCTTCTGCATCTTTGAGCCATGCCCGCTCCACTGTGTAAAGAACAGATGCCAGAATAGATGCTGTAAAACATCAACTTTGAAAGGCAGTAAGTCTAATTGCTCTTGGATTTTTTTGCATATAAAAAACATTAAGACACCTCTAAGTTCAGAAAACAAATGGTTTGAGCCATTTCACGAGGACTACTGTTAAGTTTTGAGATGCTGAAAAGCAAAATGTTTAACTAGTAATCTAATGCACTTTTAGCAACTTGTAACAGCAGTAAGAGTGGCCCACCAAGCCAAGCACATCGCAGCAGTGAGATCACACTCACACTTGTTAGACTACTTGGATGTTCAGTTAAAACACTCCCAGCTCCAGTCAAAGTCTAATAAGATCACAACTCTGAACAGTGTAGTAACACAGGTTTCAGCAGGGATTTTTTTTCTACACGAAGTTTAACTAAGATTAGATTTACTACCACCATATCCCTGCTAAATGTGATGCAAGGAACAGCATGAAGTTATGTCAGGGGAGGTTTAGATGGGATATTAGGAAAAAGTTTTTCACCCAGAGGGTGGCTGGGCACTGGAAGAGTCTCCCCAGGGAAGTGGTCACAGCACCAAGTTCAAGACAGAGTTCAAGAAGTGTTTGGACAACGCTTTCAGGCACAAGGTGTGATTCTTGGGGTGTCCTGTGCAGGACCAGGAGTTGGACTTGGTGATCCTTTTGGGTCCTTTCCAACTCAGGATATTCTATGATTTGAAGCAAGAAGTAGAAATATGAGGTCTTGAGCATCTGAGCCTTCTTCACCCATAGATAAAGTAAATCAGACTGACTACATAACCTAAAAGAGCGAGGAAAAGTGTCTCTGGCTTATTTCCACAATTTCTTTAAGAATGCTGACTTTCCTTCTGAAGTGTACGCTTACATGTATGAATTCTGATAGCTTAGTCACACTGACACTGATGTTTCCTGAATCTGTGTGGGAGCATCAGACATTTTTATGTGGAGTGCATATTGGACATGTCTTTCTATATAAGAACATTGTTCACCCAAACAATGTTCTTGGAAATTGTGATCTAATTATACTTTGACTATTCAGTTATGCTGAATACTTCATTCCTGCACAGAATATAGAAAACTCACCAGAGATCACAGTCCCTGCATATGAAAAGACAACGAAGTAAGAATATTATAATTATTAAAAAAAAAAATCTAACAAATATAAACATCAAATATCATGTACGATTCTCTGAAAGCATTGGAATGCAGGTTTTTTCTCAAGGTAGTAACTCCACAATAAAGGAAGATGGCAATGTTAAATCTAAGTTAGAAACAGAAATAAAATAATTCTGTAACATGATTAATTTAGGATTAAAACTACATTTACAAGCAACTCAACAACACAGGAAGTGTTTAGTAAGGGAAAATTTGAAGTTCCAAAGCCAGAAAACCGTAGCTTCACAGAAGGTAATGGGTAATGGCAAAAGCTAAGCACTAACTATTTTTGAAAAATTCACTATCTTATTACTTGAAGGGTTTTCAGTTCTAGAGACACTCAGGAATGTAAATATGTCACCTTTCACGTACTGACAAACGGCTGGTTTGTCTTACCATGAGGCTTTGTCAAAAGCAGCTCCGGTGCCAGGTAATCTGGGGTCCCTAGGATGCGTTCACCTTCTACTGGGGCAGCTCCTCTTCTTACACTCTTCGGAGTCCGATATGGTGTGCCAGCATCCCCCTGACAAGGTGTCTTAAAAGATGCAACAAAGATTTCAGATGCCAAACAAAACCAGCTGAGAAACTCCCATCTCCAGGTTTAGTAATGGATATAGTAGTTGTTACTCAAGTTTAAGCCAAGAACATGTCACAAAATATTCCCTGAAAAGTACATGTAAAATGTGCTTCCATTGCTTTATCTCAACAATCTTGAAGCATAAAGTTAAAATGCCTATTCTTCAAGAAACTTATCCCTAAGTTCTTCCTCCAGTGTAAGTCCACAGCAGCTATTACTCTTTATATCAATCTTTGTAATAGGCTTGTAACTGGCACTTGACAGTATACATTACACCATCACTTTTACCAAGACAAAAAAAAGGAAAATAGTGGGCAGAGTGGCAGCTACTAGCAGCTGAACAGCATTTACAAACTGTCTTGGGAGGGGTGCAGGATTAAAAAAGAAAAAAAATAATAATCAAAGACTTCCCATTACATCAGAAAACCTGTAACTGCTCAAAGGAAATACCACACTGTACTAAAAGTAGAATGAGATAGAAATAGCACAGGCTTTTTTTATCAGTTCACTGTAACAGCAATGGATTTCTCAAAGAGGTCAACAGTCAACGCATTTTGAGCCACAGGCAAACCAATGAATAGTTATTACTAAACTCTTACAAGAAATTATAAATTTGGCCATGTAAGTGCAGTAAGAGAAGGTCTGTCAAAGTGACTTTTGTTGACAGGCTATCTCAAACTACTTGAGTTTTCCCTAAATTTACAACTGAAATAATTTCAGGTTGCTAATGTTATAACGCGTGCACGAAGTTTCCACATGTCTCCTTACCTACCTGATAGGTCTGATATGGCCTTCCTTTCTGTGACGGAGTGATAGCCGTTGGGTAAGAGCCACTACAAGCAGGTGAAAGATCCATTATATCTAAAGAAGCCATGCTACACGGCTCAGATACATTGGACATATTAATTGGACTATTATAACTTCGAAAAACAACAGCACTTTTTTTTAAGAGACTCAGTGCTTCCATCATCTTTTCTGAAGGAGGAGATACTGTGTTAAGGTAAGCTCCTTCCCCGTGTTTCTGGTCGTTATCCTTCTCATGATGTAACAGCTTGCAGTCCTGGACTGTATGTGCTTCCTCTCCACTTCGTGAGGCATCTTGGGACTTTGGTGATGTTATCAGTGCACCTTCAGGTTTTGGCTCCTCAAAGGAGAGGTCTTTAACACTTTTGTCCAAATCTAAAAGCTGCTTTTCTAAATGGCTTTCTGTAACAGACATGTCGGTAAATACATCAGAGTCTGCATTGAGGATTCCTGACGGTTTTTCATCGTCAGTGTCTAAAAAACTTGAGTTCATGTACTCCTTTTCATCATCCTTTCTGTAGTCTGTATCCAGATCACACATAAGATTTTTGACTATAGTTGGAGTAAGTGATCCTTCTGTTTGCTGGTTGCTTTCGCAGGTGTCACGTGGGCATCCATCATTACAGAGCACTAAGGACTGAATTTCTGTTGTCAAACCCGTCCTATTGTTTGCTGAAAATTCTGAGATATGACAGCCACGCTTATATTCTGCATTGCTTTTTTTAACATAGTTAAGTTCCTGACAAGGACTGGTATCAACTAATTCAAAGCCTCTTTTAACACCTGGCTTTTCAAAAATTTCTTCCTCTTTGAAAGGTTCATTCTGCCTTGAAGATGACTGTTGTGGATTGGAAGTTTCTGCTGTTTCATCAGTTATCTTTCTTTTATTTACACAGACGTTTTCTTCCCAAGTCTTTTCAGAAATACTCCCATAACCACACTGGATGTGAAAGGTACAGTAAGAAAATGTATCTGTTATATTCGAATGTTCACTTCCCAACTTCTGCCTACAGTCAGAATCATTTCTGACAATGGGAGAAACAGCAGATTCAAGTTCTTTTTTCTTTAAAACTTCAGTACTTTTGCTATTTGTTAACTCAACGTTCGAAGGGAGAGCTGACCCACTGTTATTTGTTTTGCACGTTGCAGAACTAGGTTCATCTTCACTGTGCTGCAAATGAGCATATTAAGCTTTAAGAATCAAGAAAAATAGGATTACAGCACTATAGAAATGTGTCTTTGAAATTCTTGATTTTCACTTCCATAACGAAATGCAGATTTGCAAGCATTACTTATTCTAACCACTACTAGTGACAAACATGACATAACATTTAAAAATAAAAAAGTCAAAACCAAATTAAGGATAACTTGATAATTGGACTTTTCTTAAGAACATAAAATAAACTTGCTAGAATATAGTAGAAAATGCAGTATTTTTAAATGCCTAAGGATGAAAAAAATACAGGAATTGAAGTTGTATTTGTCATTTTATGTTAAGAAGTTAAGCTACAGAAGTTTTCAGTTTCCAAGAAAGCCCAAAGCAAACAACTCCATCATACTGCCCTGTGGCATATTACACTTCAGAGATGACAAAAGGAAAATCTGATATTACTAATATTTTGATAACACAATAATACAACCAAGGCCTTGAGAAACAGACAGATAAAGAATTATATATTGTTTTAAATCTAAGTTTTTCTGTATGATCTAAATAAGAATTATGGCAAAAGACTACCTAGCAAAGCAGCATTTTCTTTTAGGTCTGTATTTGTACAGAATTTCATTAACAGTTTAAAATAGGAGAAAGTATTTTGTATCAGCTACAATTACTGGTGTTAGGTTAGTTGATACAAAACTCTTCAGAATAAAAAACTTTAAACTCTTTCGTTTGAACAGCTAGTAGAAGTTTGAAGTGTATTTTTTTCTTATTTTCCCAAGTTCTGTGTTTTAAAGAAGTGATTTTGTCTGTATGCTGAGCAAATAAAGCTCTAGGGATAAGATCAACTTCCAAATAAGCCACTGCTCCCAGCATTGCCCACCTGTGCAGGGCGCAAACCAGTGATGGCCAGTAGAAGCCTTCCCTTTCACTGCTTTGCAGCAGGCTCTAACATCTGCTTTTCCTATTATGTTACACAGGACTAATATTTGTTTGAAGAAAAAATTGTATCACTTTGATCCAAAATCCTACTCAACAAGAATTACAACCCCTGCTCCTTTCTCTGTGCTCAAAGTACGTGTTAGTAAGTAGAGGAGATTTGCATACACAAGTACAAACTAACTTTAATTTTTAGTGGGAAGATGAAACAGTCCTGACCTCTACATCTTTCTCCTGCCTGGGGCTGCTGCAGCATTCTGATTCCACACTGGACAGGTGTGTGTGGGACTCACTACTAACACTGCAAGTACCAAACCTCTTTCTTGACTGAAGTAGAGTAGGAGTCAAACTTCTTGCTGGCATCACAGGTGTTAATTGAGAATTATCAAGATCTTGAAGGAAAAAAAAAAATTCAAATGTTGACAAAATTTGATACAAATTGACCGGCTTCACACTATGTCAAGCTTTCACATCCAAGGAAGTTATGGAAAGCTTTCCATGACAACATAATTTCTCTTGTCATCTTTCCCACATAGTCAATTTACACCTTTTTTGAATTAGAGATTTGCCAAGAACGTAAAAAGCAATATTACCAGCATAGTTGTCTTCTTTCTCATTTCAGGTTAGAAATGAGAAAGCTGCAAGAAAAGACAATTTAGAGGAAAGCACTCATTGCAATATTAAATAATTTTCAATGAAAGTATGTCAAGAACTGACGCTTTCTGTGGTGGTATTGAATTCAGTGGTTGTGATTTGAAAAAAAACACGAAAAACCATCAAAGATGGCATAAGTAGTGTAGGTGAAAACATGTCAGAAGAAAAACACTGGAGGAATGGTAGACACTAGTAGTAACACACCTTTTATGAAGTGGGTCCAAACTACTAACATAAAATTAAAAGACTACAACCTTAGAGCCAGAGTATTCCCTCAGCACAAGGCTTGGTATACTCACGTGTTTTGAATAATTTAGTTGAAAGAGGGGTATTTTCCTTCTGGACCATAGGTAAGGGAGAAACCACTCCATGCAAACTGTCAGATGATTGACTTGAATTGCGCGCTGGCATTTTCATTCCAACAGGAGAATACTAACAAGCAGGAAGAAACATAGTTAAAAATAAATGGAGTCTGAACAAACACTCAATCCAGAGCTGAGAATGTAACTTCACACAGTCATTATGATGTTTGCATTGGAGCTTGGCCATGCCCATTTACCAGACCTTGAAGCACAACTGATAGTCAGCAACTCAAAATATAGACCAACGTAATCACTTCAGAACTTTAAAGTACTAGAAATGTATAATAAGTCATTCTACCACCTGGCAGAAGAGATGCAAAAATAGCCTTATCATGCCTATTATTAAATTTAAGATAGTAAGTAAACTAAAAGAATTAAGTACTTCAAAGACAGTGACAATTACTTACAAAGCCCAGAGAACTGATAAGAGACAACAATTGTCCTGGAGTACGCGAATAGTCCTGCTTTGGCTTTGCCATTGATGGTGTAGTAAGGATATCTATCATATTTATCTCTACAAACAGACAAAAAACAACCCCAAACAGGTCAGGTTTTCATTTTGCTATTAAAAAAACAGCAAAGTTGCAGACATTTCCTTAAGTTTTATCAAGAGGAAAAAAAAAAAAAAGTCATATGCACAACAAATATACAAAAGAAGACACCAAACCCAACTGAAGATGTACCTATACATTCTTACTCAACACAAGCTGTTTCTTCCTGTACATCCACCATAAAGTTATAGTTTATACACAGAGAAATTGTAAAAGTCCAAATTCTTTTCCAATAGACTATGCTGGAAGTGTTACATTTTCTAACTTGATACCAGCTTTGGTTTTTAGGCATCAGTTCCAGCCTACAGCCCACAGATTAAGATGGTAAATTTGGTTCAAAGCCTGCCATCTCTCCAAAAGACATCTCAAAAAAGCTACAGAAGAATTTTTCATAGGTTAAAATTCAACTTTAGAACCTTTTTTTTTGCTCACTAGCAGTAAGTAGGCTTATGGATTCCATATCATGTTCAATTAGACACAATAATCTGTCATCAGAACATCACTTAAAGCAGTACATTATAGAAAATACAGTATACTTAGGATTTTCCTTCATATTCTTAAAACAATGAAGAAGAAACACCATAGACAACTCTGAATTTTGGCATTCCTTTAAATGTTTAAAAAGGTTGTACCCACCAGCAACTGTCTCAAAAAAACCAGAGCTGGTGCTGTGCAGCGTAAGTTTGGACAATCTGGCCAAGGGGTTGGAGTTACAAACTAGTTCAGAAACCAGCTATTCACATTAAAGACCTGAAGTCTATCACCTGTGCCAGGCAGTCATTTGACTATTCAACTATATTTACTGCTACTTGAAAGGAGCATGTCAAAGCACTGATTTAATCTTCTGTTATGGACCCCTGTCCCTCACACTAATGTCTGCAATGCCTCAGCTAATTTACTGGAAATTCAAGGACTGAGAAACACGAACTGAAGGACAAAAGTAGTCAGAGAAACACCAAGAAAAAGCCAGAGTAATTCATTTACCCACTGATTTCTCTCTGTGAACTTCAGAAAAATTTGAAATCCATACCCCTCAAGAGAAATGGTTCTAGATTATATTTCATACAACCTTGTTGCAAAGAATAAATTATTTATCTTCTGAAGTGCAATGTATAGAGCAGACCCTTTACTAGCACGTAGCTTATCGGTACTTGCCTGCTAGAAATGAGATATTTGTGCAAAATTTGCACTTATTATTGAAAGCTCCCCTCTACAGAGATGCAAACATTCAAGAATACAGAAATGTGACCCAAAAATACATTCTAATACAACCAAAAGTATGCAGACAACTCTTACCTCTGTTCAGAGTAACTCTGGAAAGCCCAAAGTCTGTCAACTTTATATGGCCCTGATTAGAAATGAGCATGTTGTCTGGCTTCAGATCCCTGAAAACATGAATATAGTTGAAGTCAGCAAAAAGACCACTAAGCAACATTAAGAAAGTCAAGTGACCAGAAACACTCAATACAAAACATTGGTTATAGCTGTTTCTCAGTAACATCTCTTACCCAGCAGAAGATTCCAATTAGAGGAATACGCCAAAACAACATATCTAGCACTAAACACAGTATGAACATCTCAGGCTTTGTAAAACCTCTATGCATGTCACCAAGAGCTGCGCATTTGTGTTTCAGCAGGTTTAACAAATGTTTTTCCTGAGTACCACTATCATAACTTACTAATGTGGAGCTCCTACAAGTGACAAGCAAACCTCTAGCGACAGTTTTCAGGTGTGTTCTCCGTACCACTGCTGAATGCAAAAAGAACTCTCACTACAGGGGGAGCGTTTGGGTAGTCAGCGTCCCTTTGTTACATGTTTGCAGTACCCAGAGGTTCCCTGAACTAACACAGCTGCTGATACACCTCTGGACTGGGAAAGAGCAGGCAGGGGAGAGCAGTGTGTATTTGTCTGCTCAGCACATACAGACAGATTTTATTTTAGGAGTTGTTTCATGACATTGCTGCAGCACACACATGCAAATGAGGCAGCTGTGGTAGCTGTTACAATACAATGGTGATTGGTTATGTGATAGAGCGAAGAAATTAAAAACACAAACTACCAAATACTTATTTATAAGGGGAAAAAAAAAATTTTACCTGTGGATTATCCCATGCCTGTGAAGATAGTCAAGGGCCAATGCTGCTTCAGAAATATACTTAACAGCCATTTCTTCATCAAAATATCCATAAATATGGAGAAGAGATTTGACATCTCCACCAATAAGGTACTCCATCACCTGCCATGCAACCATTTTAAATTTAAAATTTAAAATACATTTCAAATTTGCAAGTATCAAAATACAAAATAGCTTTCACCCATACAAAAATATTATTTTAAGGGGCAGAAGCTGATAGAAGCTGGCTTGTGCAAACTTGATTTCCCACACAATACTTTTCACTTGGATGAAATAATTAAGGCTTCAAATGACAGAACATGAAACATTTTTTTTAATAGATCATTTGCTTATTTTACTTGCCTAGGCTACTCTCAGAAGTTAATTTAAAAGCTGACTACAGTAGTTATTTGAGAGTTGACTACAGAAAGAGTTCTATATTATAGAAAATGAAATGCAGAGCACTCCTGTGAAACTCAAGGCCTGAAGCCAAAGACCACTGACAACCTGTTCTATACAAATCAAAGTATCTCAATATTTGATTTTGCAAGTATTTATACACAATACTAAATACAGACCTGAGCCTTGCAAAATAAGTACAAATTGCCAGAAATGTATACAGTGATAGCTACTGTGCATTTAAGACAGTGTCTAAAAAGAACACACACATCCAAAAAACATTATGCAAACAGAGACATTATTATGGCCCAGGTCATATTCAAGATACAAGACAGCAGGGCTTCAAAAACTCACTCTTTGAAGATAAGAATGCATTTATGGGGTTTTGGTTGGGAAATCTCACCAGTCCTTAGATTCCAATATACAATACTCTACCATATATTTATATATATACATACACACAGTCACAGACATGACTAGCATTTTCTTCACAAGTCCTTCACCCTGAAGTCCTCTACTGCATGAAGCAGTTCAGAGACTCCAGAAGAAGAAGCCTTTGTTTACACTCCAAATGCATTGTAGGAGGAGTGCATAGCAACCTCCCCTCAGAATATCATCAAACTGTTGGCTGTGTGTGCTTACAGCAATCGAGACAAATTATGCCAGACCCTTTGCAGACAGCCTGAATCCATAGGACCTTATGTGGAGGTCATTATACACAAGTCCTACTGTGCTCCACAGTGCTCCATGTAGACTGGCACTCGGTTTTGCCACTCAGTCATCCTCTTGTCATGTAGGCCAACTACCATAATGAATTTTGAGCACAGGTAACACGTAAAACAGATTTCCTTTAAGTGAGCCATGGAGAGTCTTTCAGTCATTTGGATTCTGCTTGAACAGAATGGTTTCTTGTTTTCCCTAAGATTTCTACATATTTCTAAGGCATACTAGCTATTAGAAAAGCTTCTCCTGTAAAAAAGGGGAATGTGGGTGCAAAGGTAACGGGGAAGAGAAATATTTTACTTGTTGAACCATTCTGAGAAAGAAAAAAGTAAAAGTGACTAAGGAATACCCACTTGTTACCATAAAAATATGTTTCTAGATATCACTACAGTTCACACTCCGTTTTCAAGACAATCACAAAAGACCACAGAAATTTTTTTACTCACTAAGTAGATGTTATTAGCTGACTGAAGTGAGTAGTATAAGTGCACAATGAAAGGACTTTTACTGAGAGCCAATGCATCCCTCTCTGCCTGGACCTGGTGAACCATGTTTTTGTTGATCATGTCTGCTTTTTTCATCACCTGAAAAACAAAACAAAATCAAGTAGACAAACATTCTTTTATTTGCTCAACCTGTTCTTCAGCAAATTAATTTATCTATATACTTAAAACTTGCATATATGAAACAGACCTGTGACTTCATACATGGAGAGAATTTTAAACAACAGGTTATTAGACAACCATTCCCACTGCTCTCCCAATTCAGTCCTGAATGGAAATGACACTACCAAGATTTACTGCAATTGTGTACACTGGAAAATAAGTGTTTAGGCTGCATGTGAAATTAAGCAGCACTGAATTAACCCTCTTATCCACAGCACACAACTCAGAACCATGAAACTGTTCAACACTTAGATTGGCACTTGCTGACCAAGTCTTTCTTCAGAAGCTGAGATATAAGACCAGAAACTGAAAACAGAGTGCAGCAGTAAGCCATCCCATCTTGGTATCCTCAAATGCAAGACTGCAACTATTCCAGCCTCTAATTCTTAAACTTTGCAGAGAAAGCAAGAAAATTGTAAATTTTAAATTAAAAAAAAACATTAAGTCACACAAAAAAAATATTTGTTTCTTTGGGAAGAAACCTCAAAGGTATGCAACTTATCACAAAGAAATAACAAACTTAATTGTGATTTAGGCTCCAATTCCTGCTTTGAATTACTCCACTCTATGATAAGTTCAGCCAATATTAACCCTGAACAAAAGATGCACAATAGCACAGCTGACAAGTATTTAGGCAAGCATGGCATATACATTAGAAGTTTGCCCATGCACACCATCTTTTTCATAAATATATATGATGATAATAAAGCAAGTTTAATTTATCCATTCTCTATGCAACATAACTGTAAAAACTTGAGTCTGCTCAAATTTGATACTTCCTATGTAAATGTTGACCTTAGGTGTAAAAATATTTAGCATATATTAAATTCAGTAGTTTGAATAACCCATAAGTCTCTCTGCAGTAGGGGTAGAGGATTTCCACAAAAGCTTTTAGGTCACAATACTTTCAATAAAGTAGAGTATGATACTAAAGTAACACAACTGAACCACTCTATATGCAGCACCTAAACCACAGAAAATTATTTTCCATAGCTATCATCACTATTATCAAAGATGATAAAAAAAAAATTCCAAGACATCCACGGAATGCATAAAATTACACTTTTAATAACTATTGGCCTTAATAAACATTTAGCACGTGTTAAATGTTGTAGTTGTGAACCAGTCATAGACCTCACTGCAGTAATGATAAAGAATTTACACAAATGCGTTGATCTCAAAATGCTTATAACAAAATAGTGTAAACAGACACATACAGCTCTAAAGAGCAACATCTATTTTTGCATGACTAGCTTTACGTTTCCTCTTCTTTGTGTACTACGCAGCTTGTCATAATCCTTTTACTCACAAAGTCAGGCTCGCACAAATCACTGGTAAAGTTTTTACTGCTGACAAACTTAGATCTTAGCCCTTTGTGTATAAAAGTAGAAAACACGACAGGGTTTTTGTTTGTTTTTTTAATGCGTACTCGGCAACAGTGTTTTTCGTGATTTGTTCTCGTCACGCATCTCAGAGGCGGTGCTCTCACCCTCGGGCAGCTGCGGCTGAGGGTGCTCAGTTGCGGCAGCTGTTCACAAGGGAGAAGCAAAGCGCTTGGCGGGGCTTTTCGCGCAGTTTCTTCGACTCTTAAGGTACCTCTAAAAGCAGCTGTCATTACCAGAGCCCCCCTGACGGAAGCCCCGGGGCCGCGATGAGGGCTGAGCACAGCCCTGTGGACCGCACGAACCCAGGCACCGGGCAGTGCCCGAGAGCAGCTCCCCGAGAGCCGGGGGGGCTCCCACGGCGTCTGCTCCCCCCGAGAGGCGGGAGGCCCGTGCTGAGGGCCCGGCGCCTTCCTGCCCCGCCGGGACGCCCCCTTTCCACACAGGGTTACTAGTGAGCGGAGCCGGCAACGCCGCGACCCCGGGCGACCCCTCACCTTCACGGCATAGAGCCGGCCCGCCTTGCGGCCCAGGTACACCTTCCCGAAGGCGCCGCGGCTGATGGGCTTCACAATGGTGAACTCCTCGATGGATGGGGGCCGGGGGACCTCGACGCGCCTCGGACCGGCGGCTGTGGTGGCGGCGTCGCCCCCCGGCTCCTCGGGCCGCTCCGTCCCCATAGCGCGCCCCCGCCCCAAGCCCGCTGCGATTCAAAGCGGCGCCGGCCCCGCCCCGCCCCGCCCCGCCCGCGCCGTCACCAACGGCCCCAGGGGCGCTCTCGCGAGACCCGCGCCGTTGTGCGCGGAGATTGAAAGCGGCCCCTCAGCACCAGCCCCGCCGGGGGTTTAGAACAGCGACCAGCGACCGGAGCTGTCATCCGGCTAATAACTACTCGGTTTGTCATCTCGGTTTCCAGTTTGGAAACTCCACTTGCCATGAGCAGGTAGACTGCCCGCTCTCCATGGGAAGCTCGAAAGTGTAACAATTCAACAGAACTTGGGGTGAGAGATTAAAGAACTGGAAGATAATATTTATTTAGAAAGAAGCAACTGAATTTGGTCCCACGTACTCATTTTCTCCTGTGCTTCACTCACATCTGAGTTCGAGAGGCATTCGCACAACATTCACTCAGGCACATGGTGTGATTCTTGGGGTGTCCTGCGCAGGGCCAGCAGTTAAACTCAACAATCCTGTTGGGTCCCTTCCAATTCACGATACTCTACGATTCTATGATTTTCTCACACTTGCATACTTGATAGCTCCAAAAGCTGTGTCCAGATGGCACAACCAGGAGGGCTTGTGTGTCAGAGAACTCGACCCATCCTGTTCTTACTTGTCTCCTGGTGTTCTCTGGGTTGGTGGTGGCAGACTTCTCTCTGGGCAGGTCTTTTGTGATCAGGAGTTAGATTAATGTGTTCTGTTGCTTCCCTCTAGTTCCTGATTACTTCATCTGCTATTTATCTTAGGCAAGGTTGCTCTGCGTTTTATTTGAGTCCTTACTTTGGATATCTCCATGGCTACCATTCTGCCTCCCTGTTGTGACAGCAGGGGCAGGGATGGCATTTACAGTGTGCTCTGACCTTGTTGCCATTCCCCTGTTCCCAGAGCGTAGGCCTTCTGACAAACCATCTGTGATAGCGCTTTATCAGAGCACAGGCCGCCTGTTCTGTTTACACAGCACAGCCCTAGGTGTTTACCAGTTTTACTGCACTCAGTTGTGTTCTTGGTCATTTTTTTAACTCTTGCCTTACCGCCTTTATATTGCTTTCACATATACATTGCCGTTCATGTTTCATTCACACTGATCTTAATTGTTCTGTTGCAGTCTGTGCAGCAGCAAAGAGCTATTGCTGCAGAGGTCAGTGCAGAACTGGGGGTCTTTATTAACACAGTAGTTTAGTCATCAGGCCCTTGTTCTGCTTGAAGACACATCACTTATAATCTGATACTGCACAGGGAGACCATGTACTTGTGAAGGAGAGCTGCTATCCCACAGATTCCAGCAGTACATGCAATTTAATGAGCAAATGTAGAAAATGTTTTCAATTAGCTTTTTGTAATGGTGTTAACTACAATCTATCATTGTCTGTGTTTGTCATTTAATGTTAGTTTAGCTGTGTCTCACTGCCCCTGATGCCAGCAGAGAAGCCCAGCTGAGAGCAGGAGGGATTACTCCTTGTGCTGGTATCCTGTGCCAATAGCAGGTTACGCCAGCTGTGAAAGTGCATCAGGCAGCGCATATTCTGGGACAGCCTGAGCTCCTCCGAAAGAGGGCCTACGCCTTCTCTCCTTTCCCTCAAGGCACCACGAGTCATTGCACAGCTATGTGACAAACTACTTCATGGGGTGGATCCAGATAAATGTTCATCAACTTTTAGGGTTTTTTGCTGTTGCCAGGTGAGGTTTCTGCCAAATCAGCGAGCTGAGCCACGTGATTGTGATCACAAGGGTGGTCTAGTGGTTAGGGTGCTGCACTCTCACCGCTGCGACCCGGGTTCGATTCCCAGCCCCCCGGGCAGATGGAGCTCGTTAGCCCTGTAAGGCAATCCATCTAAGAGAAGGTCACTCTAAACAAACCTACGTCCTGGGGACCTCACTGCCACTGTCCAAGCTTGCTCAGCCCCGGCAGATGAACCTCAGGATTAAAGGGTGGGCTCAGTTCAGCGCACACAGTGTCTCACCTAAAAAAAAATCCACTGCACAGGCTCGAAGAGTTAATGACCTTTCCCAAATCTTCGCTCGCGAAGACTGGCCATTATTATTATTAGTGGAAAACAGATGTACAGGAAGGCAGAGGGAAGCAGCACTGTGGCTGTGCTCATCCAGATCAATGTAAGCTGGTGCGGGATAGCACTTCCAGTGAGGAACAGTGGTCAGGTGAAAGAAACAAAATGGTTATAAACCCTCAAAATAATTGGACAGCACATGGAAAAAAATGCACAAGGCATAGAAAAATGATAAATATTAAAGACCAAATTCTGCCTAACATGTAGGTCCATGTTAACTGAATGCAAGTAACAGTATTGGGGTTACTGATGTTGTCACTGAAAAAATGGGAAACAAACTCTTAACCAGTTTGTTAGGTTAGAAAGTTGACATTAATCAGTGCTGAAGGCACATGGGGATAGCTCCACAAAACATGTACATCAGTTGTCAAAACTTTTGACTATTTAAACATTTTAGCAAACAAAGGAATTAGTGTTCATCGGTTACAAGTTACGTAGTTCTCTTATTAATTAGTATTTTATCTTCTATTGATTAAAGATTCTCTCACTTCTCATGCCCATTAGTCCCCATGCTCAGTTTCTTTCTTTTGGGTCTGGGGAGGGGTTTATGTGGGTCAGTGGTCTGTGGGTCAGCGGTCAGGGATGCCCCTACCAGAATTACCTTTTACCCACTTGGAGCTGAATTTCAGCACAATTACTGAGTTAGTTTTATTAGTTTCTTCCTTATTTTAGGAGTCCTGCCAGATGTCCTGGTTGCCCATAACTTCCGCATTCTTTCATGTTCATTATCAGTGGTACATCCCTCTTCCCAAGCCACGCTAATTTCCTCCCCCAGGTCTGAGCGCATCAAAGCATGTCAAGCCCTAACTTTCTTCTAACACATGGACATTAGCCATGTGTTAGCCATTATTAGCCGCTATCTGTTTCACGGATTAAATCTCCCTTATTGTTGATTAAGCCCTAATATTTCGCCCCCCCGCTGCACAGGCTCTCTTTTTAAAGAAACACAACTTGTTCGGCAACAATACATATTTTAATGTGTAAAATTTTTCTACGCGCGCGGGACACCCTTAACTCCCTAGAGAATGTTTTGGGTGCTGAAGGCAGTCACGCTGAGCAGGGCCCGTGAGGGACGTCTTCCGAGCGGCGGCCCGGAAGCTGTTCCCGCTGCGCCGCTTCCGGGGCGGGCGGGCCCGGTCAGCGCGGCCGCGGGCGGACATTTCCCGCAGCGGGGCCGCTCCTGCTCCCGGTGGCGGTTCCCGCGGCTCGGCTGGGCGGCGGGAGAGGCGCTGGTGCCCGCCGTCCCCACCGGGACGATGTTCTCCTTCTCGACCGTGCAGCTGCAGGTGAAGGGCTGGCGGGGCGGCCCCGGCCCAGTGCGGGGCCCGCGCTCCGGCGGGCGGGGGCTCGTTGCGTGTCCGGGCGGCGGCGCTCGGAAGGCCCGGGGGCTGCGGGTCTCGGCTGGAGGAGCCACGTTCCGGGGCATTTGGTGCGGGGGGAGCAGCGGGGAGAGGAGCGGGTGGGGGCCTGGGATCCGCACCTGGAAAAAAGTAAACGGAGGAGAGAGAAGGAGGTACAGTAAAAGCTTGTGAAGAGTGAAAGCCTTCTGAAATGACGAAACAACCGGAGATGGCGCTTTTTAGCGTCTGCACTAGAAGCGAAGGGTGGTGGTGTGTGTTACAACAGCTAAAGTTAAACGGTGCTGATAATTGTCAGGTGTTGTGAAAACCGAAGATAAACGACATAAAAGCGTTAGTGGAGAAAAACCCCGTCAATAATTTATTATATAGAACAGTCTCAATGCAGTCGGGAAGGCATCTGTTATTAGACAGTGAGTCTGATGGGACTGGTGGGTTTTGTTGACTTTGAACTGAACCAATGGTTTTACTTTAATGTTTTGTGTTAGAGGGATTAGCATGTGATGGTCTTATTCCACAGTAGGATTTGATTGTTCTTTTCAGATGTGGGGAATGTGTTAATAGCTTTTGTTAGTGTAGTGAAGTGGAAGAATTTGTATGTTTCTAACAGTGTGTAATTTCACCACAGTGGAAAATACAGGAGGAAAGTTAGCGGTTGGGATGTTGGCTCTGATCTCTGGACACTTTATGGTTTTACCGTAAGCTCCCAGACTTTGTTTATAACTTTGGACAATTAATTATGAGGCAGTTTTCATGTCTTGCAGCATTGTCTCTCTAGTCAACGCAGAGATGGAAGTTCTTGCAGAAGAATATTCACAGGCATACCTGATTATCCTTCAGTCAGATATCATTCCAGCAGCCACAGTTGCACCTCAGCTCATTTTAGTGATGTGTGCTGAGACTTTGGAAGCGTTGGAATTATTTGTACCATATATTCACAAGAGATGTGGTCATGTGCTAGAGGAGGAGCCCTGATAAGTGGTGCACCTGGGCTTCTGTTCTGATTCATGAGGTGGAGTCAGCTGAAAGCTGCTGAACTGCAGATTTGACTGTCTATGTGTATGTTAGGTCTGTTGCTAAAGTGAGCTCCCAAGGAAGAAAACATAAAGGCAGCTTTTGGGAATAACTCGTATAAGGCAGGAAAAGTACAGATATTTCAAGCTATAGAAGTATTACTTTATAGATGAAAATACAGCCCATTTTGTTTTTTCTTTCCTCTTCCTAGCTTTGTGAGCGTCTAATCTGTTGTGTGCACTTAAAGTTTCTTTTTTTTCCCCCCCTTTAAATAGAGGTATCAGCTAACACTGTGGTGTTGAAGCTGAAGTCCTTAGTTAAAAGGCAATGTACAAGATACACAATTATAAGTCAGGGTTTGGAATAGAAATATGTTTAAATAGTTTAAACAAGGTTAAGTCATTATCTGATTTTTTTTTTCCCCAGGCTACTGTTCCTCTGAGTCACCTTATCAATGCCTTTCATTCACCAAAAAGTTCCACTACTGCTGCCAGCAAAGCATCCATACAGCCTGTCCAGAGG